CTTTGTGCATTGTCAGTGAATTGCTGATACAGATTTCTTTCCATGTCACGTTATCCAGTATCAAACTTTGTCTCTCTTGATCTTTTTTGCCGGTCTTACCCTCCAACTTTCTCGGTGAATGAATAAATAAATGAATGAATGAATGTATGAATAAATAAATATATGGATAGATGGGTGAATGAAAGAACGAATTTGCATCACTACTGTCGAGACATTCCTACACTTGCTCCGTCTCCCCTCTTTAGTAACCAACAAGGAGTCGACTCACTAATAGTGCCAGTTGTAACCTGATTACCAGTCTGTCTGTTTTCCCCCACAGTGTTGAATATCTTCCAGACTATTTCCCTTTTTCTGGATGTCACGACGTACTTCAGATTTCATTTTTTGGATGTCACGACGTACTTCCGATTTCATTTTTTTGATGTCACGACGTACTTCCGATTTCATTTTTTGGATGTCACGACGTACTTCAGATTTCATTTTTTTTTGCTGTCACGACGTACTTCAGATTTCATTTTTTGGATGTCACGACGTACTTCAGATTTCATTTTTTAGATGTCACGACGTACTTCAGATTTTTTTTTTGGATGTCACGACGTACTTCAGATTTCACTTTCTGGATGTCACGACGTAATTCAGATTTCATTTTCTAGATGTCACGACGTACTTCAGATTTTATTTTTGGATGTCACGACGTACTTCAGATTTCATTTTTTTTGGATGTCACGACGTACTTCAGATTTCATTTTTTGGATGTCACGACGTACTTCAGATTTCATTTTTTTGGATGTCACGACGTACTTCAGATTTCATTTTTTGGATGTCACGACGTACTTCCGATTTCATTTTTTGGATGTCACGACGTACTTCAGATTTCATTTTTTTTTTGCTGTCACGACGTACTTCAGATTTTATTTTTTGGATGTCACGACGTACTTCAGATTTCATTTTTTAGATGTCACGACGTACTTCAGATTTTTTTTTTTGGATGTCACGACGTACTTCAGATTTCACTTTCTGGATGTCACGACGTAATTCAGATTTCATTTTCTAGATGTCACGACGTACTTTAGATTTTATTTTCGGATGTCACGACGTACTTCAGATTTCATTTTTTTTGGATGTCACGACGTACTTCAGATTTCATTTTTTGGATGTCACGACGAACTTCAGATTTCACTTTCTGGATGTCACGACGTACTTCAGATCTCACTTTTTGGATGTCACGACGTACTTCAGATTTTACTTTTTGGTTGTCACGACGTACTTCAGATTTCACTTTTTGGGTGTCACGACGTACTTCAGATTTCCATTTCTGGATGTCACGACGTACTTTAGATTTCACTTTTTGAATGTCACGACGTACTTCAGATTTCACTTTTTGGGTGTCACGACGTACTTCAGATTTCACTTTCTGGATGTCACGACGTACTTCAGATTTCATTTTTTGGGTGTCATGACGTACTTCAGATTTCACTTTTTGGATGTCACGACGTACTTCAGATTTCACTTTTTGGCGTTGTAGATAGTTTCCTTCTGATGTGGGCAATCTGTTCTTTTCGTGAAGTAATTTTGTAGAAGAGATCATCACTACGCTTTTCCTCTGTTAAAGGTGTTCTCATCATTTTTGTATTTAAAAAGAAAGTATGTGCATCCGTTTCAGGATTTGTCACTGATTGATTCTACTTCCTACATCCGACCACTGGAAAATGTTGAACCAATACAATGACGACACAGCTCCACAAGTGTAGTTTGGTCATGAAAATACATGAAACAATACGAGCTGAAAGATTTTATTCACACAAAAAACAATCGCTGGTGTAACCCTTACCAATGAAGCAGTGTTTTCCACAAATTCGAATATATTGACTGGCACAACAACCACCCAAGGTATCTGTTGAAACGCATTCACAGATGAGCTGGGCGACATCGAGACTGTGATTTCACAGAAAGCGACTAAACCACTTGGCTTTTGGAGCGCTTTCCATCCTAATCAAATATGGCGGAAAAAGAGGTACACTTGGATGGCTGCTGCATCGTAGAACTGTGCAGGTATGGGAATGCGAGATGGGTAAAACACCGATTGTAATAATATATTATAATACAAAACGTTACAATGGTATAATAAATGCAATATAATATAACATTGCACAACATAACGATCAGATGTTAGATTGAAATGAAAAGTAGTGCTTTTACTCTCCCATCTAAAGAGGACGGTGTTTGTAGGTAACAAGACATTGCTGTTATTATTTAATTATTGTTATTATTATGTAATCGTATTATATGCTATAGAGGACTAGAATGCCAAAAAAAAAGGTAATTATCATAACCAGACTATGCATGGAAGACACTTGTAATATAGTAATATATAAAGGCAGAAAGTCAGACTCTTTTCAAATAACATCTTGTTTAAAGCAAGGTGATGCTCTGTCCCCACTTCTTCTCATCCTGGCCCCGGAGAAAATTATAAGGAAATTGAAACAAAAATGTATTTTAGAAGAATCTACGAGAATACTTGGATATGCTGATGAAATTGATATCGTTGGAGAAAATGAACTAGAGACTGTTAAAACACTGACTCTCTTAAACTGGGACTAGTCATCAATCAAGATAAGACAGAATACATGACAATAACTAGACAGTGAAAGGATATAAACTCCAGCCACATACATGTCGATGATATGAAAATCTTGGGTGCAAACTTCAAATGCTTCAATATGCTGAGAAAAGACATAAAATCTAGAATACATTCTGAAAATAAAGTAAACTATGCCCTTCAACATCAGCTAAAGTCAAAGTGTCTGTCTCACAACACCAAGATAAAAATATATATAAAAGTCAACAAGAACAGTCGTTTCATATGGTATTGAGACTTGGAGCGCAACTAATAATAGATGAAGCCTTATTACAGGTTTTCGAAAACAGAGTCTTACGACGAATCTTTGGACACATCAAAGATGCAAACAACAGGGAATGGAGAGTGAGAAGCAACAATGAAATTTATAATCTGTTTAAATCACCATTGGTCACTGGCATCATGACAGCTAATAGACTGAAATGGTTGGGGCATATTGAAAAAATGTCAGATGACTGATAAGTGAAAACTGTACACACAAGGGAGATGAATGGCCGTAGACCATGAGGCAGACCAGCAAACATTTGGTATCACCAACTGGAAAGAGAAGGCCAACCAGAGAGATGAATGGAGGCGGGTAATATCTGCAGCAATGAACCTCAAGGGCTCGGAATGCTAAAGAATAAAAACAAAATTATATGTGTAAGTTAAATCCCTCAGATGAAGAACAGAACTTTGAGTATACTGGCATTGGCTTTACAACGGTTCAATGGTTACAATTGTCTTTAACAGTTAATGCAACCAAGAGACATGTATACTGATTGCATAGTGTGTGTGTGTGTGTGTGTGTGTGTGTGTGTGTGCGTGTGCGCGTGTGTGTGTGTATACGAGTGTATGCATATGTGTATATATATATATATATATATATATATATATATATATATATATATATATATTAGGGCTGTACCGAATATTCGCTTAGTATTCGCTTCGGTTCGGGGGCCGAATAGTGGACCTAATAACTATTCGGTATATGGCCAAATAGTTGCGGTCGGGCTGAATACTAATAATGGTTACCTTACATCCGTTTCTGGACTGGTGGAAAATAAATACATCAAGATTTCCCACCTTGGTTCATACTGTCAAGCGTTATCTTTGTGCACCACCTACGAGCGTACCAAGTGAACGTCTGATTAGTACAGCTGGAAATACCTTCAGTGAGACAAGAAGCTTTCTTAATGCTGACAACATGGAACGATTTTTTTGGGGTGGGGGGGGGGGGAAGCTAATGCTACTTTTTAAGGATTAACTAAGCTATCAGTGACAATTTACAAGTTTAGTTACTTGTTATAAAACACTTTAGGTCCAATACATCTATAAGACAGGAAACAAAACAAAAATATGTGTCTGATTTTATTAGAAAGCGTCGCTGGAATTACATCGGTCACGTACTCAGAATGGACATACAGAGACTTCCCCACCAAGCCTTCATATGGTCACCAGAGGGTAAAAGAAAACAGGGAAGACCAAAAGAAACTCTCCGTAGAACCATCACAAGGGAGAGCTCAACCATAGGTCTCAGTCGCACTCAAGACCTACATCAAGTGGCAAAGAACCGACAGACGTGGAAAGCTATGACCTCTGCCCTATGCGCCATCTTTGGCACAAGAGGAATAACTAACTAACTAACTAACTATAAAACTAAGAATACTTTCATTCCTATGCATTTGTAACCACAGACTGACTGATTAAAGGATGAAAAACATGAAGTGTTTTTAAATGTCTTTACTATTCTGTACTACATTGTGTAAAGTAAAATTTCAGCCTACATTTGACATTATGGATGTTTTTTTTTTTTTAGATCTATTTTATTCACGAAAGTGGAAGAATGGGCCTCAGTTTGAACAGTGGGAAGACAGAAGTAATGGTGATATCAAAGAAAATAATTATTTCTAAATGTGTAATAAAAGTCAATGGTTTTATTTTGGGACAAGTACATAAATTTAACTATCTGGGCACATGGATAACATCAGATGGAAGATGCATTACTGAAATAAGAAACAGAATAGGACAGGCGAAAACTGCATTTTTAAAATTAGGAACATCTTATGCAATATATCTTTGTCCTTGAAGGTTAGAAAAAGAATTCTTGCTTGCTACATACATCCAGTTTTAACATATGGCTGTGAATCCTGGACAATGGGTAGGCAGGCCAAACAATTTCTTGAGGCCTAAAAATTGTAGTTTTACAGATCAATGCTTTGAATACCTTGGACAGCCCCCCCCCCCCCAAAAGCTACCAAGAGGTTTTGAGAGAGGCGGGAGCCCGAAGACAAATACTCACAGACATCAGAAGGAGACAGTCATCCATCTCAGCTCACAGGCCAGTCTGTATTGATCAGACAACAGGATTTATAATGGCCTACAACCTAGAGCTCTCGTTCTTGCAAGCGGCGCCTCCGCCGTCACCAACAACGTCATTGGTATTTGCGTCATTTTTGGTGACATATACGTTGGCTTGAGGGCTCTCATTTTCCCTCTGTTTGTCAGCTGTTTTCCCAACATCTGCGATGAATTCTTTCAAAGCTTTCCCTGATGTCTCCTGCAGGAAACAGACTGCTAAAGCGGCGAGTAGCAGCGAGCCTCCAACGGTAGCTAAGGCGAGAGTCGGTCCCTCTTCCTAACAGATAGAATAGAAATACAAGCATGAGTAAACAAATATTTTGTTAAGAAATCCCAGTATGTTTCACATATGAAATCAGTTTGTAAGAAATATATGTCAGCTTATATTAAGAGAAGACACATATCGTAAGTAACTGCCTTTTGTACGACATTATGCTGCCAGTGTGAAGTAGGCATTTTACTACACCAACAAGTCGAGTCGTTGGCAACAGATGTAGAATCCCTAGGAGAGATGACAAAGTAAATATGGTGGATAAAAGTGGGAATAATAACCACTTGGTCAGTACAGTCATATAGTTCAGTAAAAAAACAACAGATTAAATGGTTTGTCCGTCTAACAAGAATGCTCTATTTTCATCTTCGCCACACTGAAGAAATATAAACAGCCTAGTAATGGAAGTACTGGACAAAAGACTACACAACGATAGCCCTACGAGCAGCTTTCCAGAAACGTGAAACGAATAATGCAAGGAATTAAAAAGAGCACATAGACAATCCCAACATCTGCTTAAAACCACCCCAACCTTTCAAATGACTTGTAGGGTAATAGGAGGACTGGAGGTAACCTGAGTTTTCTAAATTTGCCAAAGAAAGCATTCACAGGAAGCAGAGTGGGTGCCTTGATACGATTAAAGGTTTCATAGTGGACAGGTTGACACTTTTTTGTTTTTCTAGGACACCCATAGTTCTAGGGAAAATTATATTTTAAATAGTTGGGAATTAATTTTTTGACATGTTAAGAACTAGATGTCTGTCAGCCTATAATTGCTCTAAAATTTGTCATGGATAATGGATATGGGACCCTGCTTCTCTGAGTGTTAATAAATTGTGATCAGTTGTTGCAGATTCGTTCTTTGTCATATGTGTCTCCATCTAGCTACATTTACAGAATTTTGTATTCACTTTACATTATTAAAGTAATATTTTAAAAAAACTGTTGCGGTAGTGGTGGCATTTTTAAAAAGGTCGGTTATCTGACGGCAAGTATAGTGTCTGTCAATAATTCATGTTATTCTTGCTGACGGTGGCAAATTGGTCCGACACGTACATTGTGACAACTGCCATTACCTTAACTCTCACTGGGGTCAACACTCAAATATCTGGCAGCCCCGATGCTGATTAATCAAAAGCGCGAGTAAATCATACTAACTTTGTTTCAACTGTGTCCTCACTGTGTTGTGAATTATAGCTATGATGCTGACTTTATGTTTCTTTTTCATATGATTTTTAAAAAAAAATGATTGCGCACCTTCATAAGTGGCTTTCACTTTGAAAAAAACCTTTCAACATGCCAAAAGTTGAGTATGAGCAAAAATTTCAGAAAGAGTGGTTGCATGATGACAACATTAAAGACTGTGGGTGATGGCAGTTGCTGGGACACGACCAAGGCTCGTTGTAAGTACTGCAAGTATGAAATTAAAGCGAAAATACAAAAAGAATCATGCAGAGACTAAAAAGCAAAAAGCTGCAGTTCCATTCAAAGATATTACACCGCTGACATGTTTTCAGAACTACACTGATAAATGAATCATCAAAAGTTGAAGGATCAGTCGCAATGTTTTGAAGTTGCCATTGTGCAATTTCAAACTGTGACCATTTGATTGAATTGTTTAAAAACACTATTTCTGACAGCAAAGTTATGGCTGATGTGAAAATGCATCTCAGCAAGTGTACACATATTATAGGAAATACTTTATTTTCTCACTTGAAAAAGAATTGATCAGTGATATTTCTACAAAAAAAAAAAAACAGTTTATTATTAGATGAATTAAATGATATTTCGGTACTGAAAGTGCTTGGTGTGTGTATTATAGATAGCAGCAACAATACAGACAAAGTAGTTTCTACATATCTTGGACTAGTTCAATTGGAAAAGTGTGATGCAGAAAGTATAGTTGAGGAACTTAAAAAACTTTTAATCAGCAAACAGTTAGACTTGACAAATTTGGCTGCAACAGGTACCGATAATGCTTCGGTGATGGTTGGTATAAACAATGGCGTTTATGCCAAGTTAATGAATCTATTCCATCGTTAATACTTATAAAATGTATGTGTCGACTGGTTTATAAAATATAGGTCTAGCAATATATGTCCAAAACCCTTTACAATTGCACAGTAAAAAATTGTTTAAATGATCATTACTGAATATAGTAGGGGGCTGCGAGGTCTCGAGTGCTTGAGGTTCCGGGTTTAATCCCCTGTAAGGGCTGGGACTTTGTTCACGTGGATTTGGACTTTGACTAATTCCACCTGGTCTCTTGGTAGTGAGATCGGACGCCCATGTGTATTGTGGCTCACGTTAAAAAAATCCCTTGGCAGTTGAAAATCGAAAAAGGAGCCTAACGGCGCTGCCCGTGCAAAATTTGGAGTCAAAAATCAACACCAAAGTATTTCAGGATCCTCGCCGGTTCTACAGAGCCTGTGCACTGTGCTGAACTTATCCGGACTCAAACTTGAGTTAGAAGAAGAACGGAGCACTTATGGGTTACACCTGTGTGCTACGATGCCGATTCGTTGTTCAAAACCTCAAAACCTCAAATTCAATTCAGTATCTATTACATACAAAAAACGTTTGAATAGCCAAAGTAACAGGTTGTTGATATGACACTAGCTGAATTAACTAAAGTAACATACTTTTGTACAATACTAACTGAACAAACTACACACAATAACTTGTTTTTGATATAACACTCATTGAACAAGCACAATGTACGTACAAAGTTCAGTAGAAAGGGAGCTAACATAGCTCCTACTCTTGCACTAACATTGGAAGCTCCAAATCCTAAACCCCTGTGAACCAAAAATCGTAAAATTATAACAATGAATTCAAAGTAACACACTTGTTTCGTTACAACGTCTGATTATTATTAAGTAAGTAACACAATCTTTAGTATGGAACTCTAAATTGTATAGTTTGAAGCCAAGCTCGGTTTTGTAATTTTATTTCAGTTTAACATATGCAAGTGAAAGTTACATATTGCCCCCGCTCAAGTGTGGGGCACCATTTTTTTCAAAACTTCAAAGCCGCACCACAGGTGTCGGCAGGGGCCCTTAAATATAACCTACAGGTTAAACTGGGTTTCTGGAACTTGCACCGGGATGATTCTCATCTGAATTTGGCACTTTGTGTCACCGAGTGTTTAACCCTCTTCGTATGGTCCTGGTGGGTTGAACGTTAGTCAACCAGTCATTCAGTAAAAGTTGGAGAAACTCTAAAGACGTACAACGAAAGTTAAATGCATTCGAAACCAAACCATTCGAAAACACAGGAAAATGATGAAAACAAAATGAAGTAAAAAGCAGAGAGGGAAAAAAGAGAAATATCTGGGGAACCACTAGTATCAACAGCTATAAGATTAGATGGCGCTACAATGGACACATCCTGAGGGTGAAAAAACCAGCAGAAAATCATCAGACAGGTATTAAAATGCGAAGTAGGAGGACTAGGGCGGCGAGGAGGCCTAATAAAAATCCTAAGACAAATTTTGATAAGGGAGGCTTCAATTGCTGGACTGGATTCTATAAATGATATTGAAATGATTGCCCAGGATCAAACGAAATGGAGGAATAGCATGTGAGCCTTTTGTGACACATAATGGTACCCAGGATGAATCAATGAATGAATGAACAATAAATCAATCATTCGATCAATCAATGAACATACGCTTGTCATGCATTTAGCTTATCAAGCGTATAGGGCTTGCGTATAATGTGGCGAACAACAGACCCACCTCTCTTTACTTCCCAAGATATGAACTGGTGCCCACTTTAGTCTGGGTCTACCTGGCAGCTTAGATCAATTTGAAGAAGAAACAGAAATCTGCCTCGATTCAGATTTGATCCCTTGACCTTTGGGCCGGCAGGCGGGTATCTAGCCCTTACGCTCCTACGCTACCACCCCCTCCCCTTCCTCCCCCACTCTTTTCCCCCCAATCCCTCTCCTTTTGTGTGCGGTCGTGTTGTCTACGCGCGTAACAACCCAGTTATAAGGTTTTTCAGGATATTGCAAGATCTTTGGCAGTGTCACATTTAACTCGTTCGCAACGGCTGGCTGAGCTGCTAGGAACGCTAAGTTCTAATTTGGGAGACCCAGGATCAAATCTCCGTTATGGCTATAGCGATCTATTTGTCCACTCGGGGTTTAAAAAAGCAAATATGCTAACCGGATCAGTCCATGTTGACTGCATTAGCATTGAGACCCTAAATCCACACACTCAACACATCACCATAAGGACCCTTTTCCACGCCTTTAGGAATCTGTGGTTGCGTGTTCTTTATGAGGGGGCGGGGAGGGGGGGTGCTGTTTGTGATTTGACTAGCAATTTTATTTTTAATGGTCTGCCATTGCTTTCTGAAATTCGGCTCTCGATACCACTTTTGAAATCAATGCAAAATTGTTCTCCGGCTCTACGGAATAATAAAGCGCGTTCGCAACGCCCTAGCCACAGACTCCCACTGTCAAGCAGTGCCATCAGGCAATAAGACTGTAAAATCAATGAATACAAATCTGCAGGCTTTACTAGACCCTTGAAGCAGTTAGAGACGGTACAGTTGTAAGTCCTCTGTCGGTTGAGCAGTGTTTGTGGGACCTAGAAGGTCGTCTAACCATCCAGAAGACAATTCTTGATGTCTCTGGGATGATAAAACCTTTCGGTAGCAACCCGAAGGGTAAGAGAGACCTTCACGGTATCATTAGTATTGAGCATAACCTGGCCACACACTATAGCAGATTATTTTTGCTAGATCTTTTGGCTTGAATACAACTGCACAGAAAATAAAGCACAAGAAAACGTAGAAATCTAGGCAGTTCCTTCTGGCTTGGTGTCCGATTTATTGCTTCAACGTCATGATGATGCAAAGCCGAAGTTCGTTAGTACAGACAACCCCCACCCAAACATACACAAAAACACACACGCACGAACGCGCGCATGCTCGCGCGCACACACACGCACACTTCACAGCAATATTTCTAGTGTGAAAGCTTTCTACCTACGTGATGTTTGCTTTGCCATTTACTGAACACACTTCTACTGACTGATTCGCACTCCCTTTGTCTCTCCTTCATTCATGTGCACTGCGAGTGATTCCAAGACACACACACATACACACACACACACATACGCATGCATACACACACACACTCTCACACATCACACACACACGTAGAGCTATTTTTTTTTTAGTTGCGTATCCTTTACAGGACGTTGCAGAATCAACCCTAACAGCCCCTGGCTGTTGTGTGGTTTCTCTTGGCAAATTTACGTCCAGTAGTTTGCCATTGTTTTTCTGGACGGTCGGCTTTCTTGATACCACTGTCGAAACCAACGCAAGGCGCATTGCCCGCAACTGAGATCGAACCCGGCATCCCGGCATTTCGAAGCGAAGCGTTCGCATCGACTTAGCCACAGAGCCGACACGTAGAGCTATAGCTGTTTCATACGCTGACCTATTTTGGGATTTGTTCCTGTTTGATCATCATCCGAAAAGGCGCTACTGGCGCCATTAGGCGATAGTCCCTACCGTTGTAACCTGAAAGGAACAGGCAGACAGACTGGCTGGCTCTGCACAACTTGATGGAATACTGATGCATGATAATGCAGACGTCATTAGTGCCTTGTGAGAGAGCGTGTACAGTTCGGAGGAGCAGATAAATCACTACAGTCTGATGAGATTGATTCAGTAGGGAGTAACGAGAGTTTCTGGCAAATGCTCAAGGCTCAGAGGAAAGGCAAGACGGGCGTTTAATCAGAATGCTACTGGTACCATTAGTATTGGAACTCTGCACTGGCTGCTGAAGATTAGGACGGAGCGCTTATGGACATGCCACGAGTACTGTGATGTCGGTTTTTCAATCAACTCATCTCAGTTCTAGTATTTATATGTATTAGGTACTCTTATTCAACTTCAAGTGTTTTAAAAGAATCCACCAGCCACAATGAGTCAATGACTCGCTGTATGAAGACGATGACGATGATGCTGATAGAGTTGACTATCGTGATTGTGAGGATAAACTACAACAGTGTTTAAAAAGTTACATCATGATAGTATTGCTAGTGGTAGTAAACAGTAGAACATTTCTTGCCTGATAACTGTAGGGTAGGTTTCATTTGTGGCGATTCCAATTGATCCCCAGGCACATGATAGAAATGCTCGACTAAGAAGATTTAAAACAGTCTCTGTTGTGACCTTCTGGTCCGAGCCTGGCACTGTGTAAAATTAATGAGAACTGCTGGACATCTAATGTATGCAGTGAGCTGTATTAATATATACTTACTGTGCAGTGTGCGGAATTAATTTAAACATAATGTGCAATGTGCAGGACCCTGGCGACTCAGACCCGTTAAACATCCCGACCCTTTTTTCCTCCTCCAGTATTGTGTAGGTTGTTTAAGAGGACCTACCCACCCCCTAACCCCCCCCCCCCCCCTCTCCGACAGCATGTATGTGCTCTCTTGGGGTATTTTTTCATGTATTCTGACTATATCATATTATTTACAATGTATAATTACATTGAATTTTAACGCCCTAAGTGTCGAAGGCAACATTTAGGAGATATAGTTAACTTTTAATTCAATAATATAAATAAATAAACCAACAAATAAATCACTTGACGCTAGCCTGCGGATCCCAAGGTCGTGGGTTCAAATCGGTATGGAGCTGGATTTTTTCATACAAGCCCTTGGCTCCCCGATATAACAGGGAAATGGGTACCAGGTAAAGTTATGGGAATTAGAGGCGGTGAGTTTGAAGTTGACCACATTGTCCATCCATTCTTTACACAAGCGAGTCTAGCCTCATATGCCTGCCATTGGTATGTAAAGGGACATTTGCACGCCCTGGTATGTAAAGGGACATGTGCACGCCCTGGTAGGTAAAGGGACATTTGTACGCCCTGGTATGCAAAGGGACATTTGCACGCCCTGGTATGTAAAGGGACATTTGCACGATTTAGTATATAAAAGAACATTTGCACGCCTTGGTATGTAAAGGAACATTTGCACGCTTTGGTATGTAAAGGGATATTAACGTGTTCCGTGTATGTAAAGGGATATTTTGCATGACCTGGTATGTAAAGGGACAGTTGCCCATTTGGTATGTAAAGGGACATTTGCGCGCCCTGGTATGTAAAGGGATATTTAAGTGTTTCTTGTATGTAAAGGGATATTTAAGTGTTTCTTGTATGTAAAGGGAAATTTGCACGCCCTGGTATGTAAAGGAATACATTTGCACGCCCTTGTATGTAAAGGGACATTTGCACGCTTTGGTATATAAAGGAACATTTGCACGCCCTGGTATGTAAAGGGCATTTAGCGCGACCTGGTTTGTAAAGGTATATTTACGTGTTCCTTGCAGGTAAAGGGATGTTTTGCACGACCTGGTATGTAAAGGGACAGTTGCCCATTTGGTATGTAAAGGGACATTTGCGCGCCCTAGTATGTAAAGGACATTTGCGCGCCCTGGTATGTAAAGGGATATTTACGTGTTCCTTATATGTAAAGGGATTTTTTGCACGACCTGGTATGTAAAGGGACAGTTGCCCATTTGGTATGTAAAGAGACATTTGCGCGCCCTGGTATGTAAAGGGACATTTACGTGCGCCTGGTATGCAAAGGAACATTTACGTGCTCCTGGTATGTAAAGGGACATTAACGCGCCCCTGGTATTTTAAGAGATATTTACTTTGAAATGACACGATGAGACAAACACACCCTATTTCATATTTTCAAGACTCACAAATTAAGTTGACTGCCATTGATCCAAATCCACACGCGCTGGCCAAAATAAAAAATAAGATTGATGTTTTCTTGCAGCCAAGTCTGTTAAAGAATGTGTAAAGCAAGTTAATTCGTTGTGACTCTTCATTCACCATACACACCTATAAACGTCTATCTTGTAATACAATAACATATAAAAGAAGATCACTTAAATCCATTAGGACTACACACACTATACATGAAATAATACCGCCTACATTTCAAATTAGCAAATGTTAATTTCAAACAAAATGTAGCATACACAAATGTGTGTATGGCATATCTTGTGTCCTAAAAGTCACTAAAGGAAGCTGAATACGTTGACAGTTTTGATAGCCAGCATCACAAGAACCTCTTACATTCCCCGACAGCCCCGATTGAAATATAGCCTGTGTATATAAAGGTTATAATTTATTCCACAAATTTAAAGAAGTTAAAGACATTGTATACAGAAAGAGTCGGCACTGTGGCTAAGTCGATGCGAACGCTTCGCTTCGTAATGCCGGGATGCCGGGTTCGATCCCAATGCAATGCGCCTTGCGTTGGTTTCGACAGTGGTTTTGAGAAAGCCGATCGTCCAGAAAGCAATGGCAAACTACTGGACGTAAATTGCCCAGAGAAACCACACAACAGCCATGGGCTGTTAGGGTTGGTTCTGCAACGTCATGTAAAGGATACGCAACTAACTATCCAGAAAGAACGAGGCATATAAAAAATGGATAAAATCCAAATCACATCAAGATTATGTGTATTACAGACTAGTATTACAGAAGAGAAGCAAAACACAAAATTAAAACATCTAAAGACGAGTCTTGGAGAAATTATGGTCAACAGATGGCTACCCTCAGCAAGAACTCCCCTAGAGAATTCTATAAACATGTAAAAATCATGAGAGAAAGAGACATAAACTACAATCCAACAACTATCATCAACAACAAGAGAGTCATACCTCTATTTAGTCCACAACAGATGTTGGCAAGATGGCCAGAGTATTTTCAAGAACTTCTCAACCCCACAGGCAACGTAGATAATGTTAACTTTGTACCTCAAAGCTGCGAACAAGAGGAACCAAATTTCATAGCAGCGGAAGTAAGAGCAGTTATACAGAACAGCCCCAGAAACAAGGCACCAGGTCTGGATGGAATTAATACAGAAGGGATCCAAGCATGCGGAGAACGTGGGTGTTAAATGGCTTACTAGAATTTTAAAGATTATTTGGGATGAAAGAATAGTCCCAGCTGAGTGGCAACAGACATTAACAGTACCGTTATGGAAAAAGAAAGGTAATAGGTGAGAATGTGAAACAGAGGTATCTCACTACTGAGTCACGTAGGAAAAATGTACGCCAAATTACTAGAACAGAGAATTAGGCCCATAGCTGAACAACAGCTGAGTGCATCAAAATTCAGTTTCAGAAAAGGCAGAGGATGCACAGATGCATTATTCACTCTGAGGCAAGTGTGTGAGAAAGCCATTGAGCATAATACCAAAAAGAATACTGTGTTTATAGATCAGGAAAAGGCTTTTGATAAAGTTGAAAGAAACAAACTGTGGTCTGTTTTTGAGAACTACGGGGATACAAGGACAGTTACTAGAGAACATCATAGCCATATACCACTCAAGCCAAAGTGCAGTAAAAACACAAGAAGGCATATAAGATATGTTCACAGTCAACACAGGTGTGAGGCAGGGATATGTGTGCTCTCCCCGCTTTTATTTAACATCTATATAGACAGAATATCTAAAGAAGCAAGTTCTGATACAGACACCATAGACCTTTATAATCATGATGAAGTACACACATCAGGAACGAACTACTATTTGCTGACGACCATTGCTTGTTCTATCCTGAAAAAGATAGACTGCAAGACCACATTACCAGGTTAAACTCAGCATGCAGTAAATACAACATGAATATCAATGTAAACAAAACCGAAACAATGCAAGTTAGTAGAACCCCTGCCCCACTACACACACAGTTGAATGGTTCTGCCCTGAATCAAGTTAGGGAGTTTAAATATCTAGGAAATATGATCACAGAAGATGGTATAATTGACAGAGAAATAGAAACCACATGCCAGAAAGCAAGTGCACGTATATACCTATTTTTACCATTATTAAGACATCCAAGCAGAACTATGAGTGCAAAGAGACAGATTATTAATAGCAAATTTATTCCAACATTAAACTACCAGTGCCAAACATGGACACTATCTAAAGCCCATATAAGCAAAATCACCACCTGCGAGATGAGGTGCCTTAGAAAAGCAGCCAACCTAACCATCCGAGATCAAGTAAATAATGAAACTATCAGGCAAATTATAGGAACGACACCTTGAACTAGATTCATCAAGAAGCAGCAAATTAAGTGGTTTGGCCATCTTGTTAGAATGCCGCACGATAAAATACGATCACAAGCACTACATCTCAGAAGATCAGCTACAAGAGCAAGAATACGCCGCGGAAAATATGGATCAACAAAAATAAAGACACTACGTCTTCGTGGCATGACAATAGCCAGTGGCAGCCAACGGCAGAAGTGGTTTATGATGATGATGATGATGAAAAGAACGAAGCGGCCAAGCTACTAAACGATTGGTAAAACGGAAAACTCCATCTAGATAATTCCAGGGGCCAGCGGAATAATGGGATGTGTAGACCGGGCCTTTATTTACCTATTTGTCTGAAATCATTGGAGGAAAATAACAAGTTTTAATTTCAAGCAATCTGTTTATCGATTATATGGTGCAGTATCATTAGTTTTACAGATTTATTTGCACTCTATGTGTTGTATAGTTCACCTAACGATGTCATCTGTATTTGCACTTAATGGGTTGTATAGTTTACATAACGAGATGCCATCTGTATTTGCACTCGATGGGTTATATAGTTCACATAACGATGTCATCTGTATTTGCACTCGATGGGTTGTATGGTTCACATAACGATGTCATCTGTATTTGCACTCGATGGGTTGTATAGTTCACATAACGATGTCATCCTTATTTGCACTCGATGGGTTGTATAGTTCACATAACGATGTCATCATCCTTTTCCAAAACATTTCATATCATTGATTTTAGGCGTTAATGTTTCTGTAATACTGGCTCATTAAAATCTACATGATCCATGAGGGATTTGAATGACTGACTTCGCTTCACAGGTCAACCTACGTGCAAATGTGTACTAGAAAATGTCATGGGAAGTAAAGGAGCATGACAGTATGTTAACCATATTACTCATCTGATTGGTCTATTAAAAACTATAATCCTAACACCAAATGGCATGGAATTGTCTGAACGCGGTTTCTAGGACCTCTCCACGGCGATCCTAATCCACATGGTGGCACTTTGTGTCATCGGGTGTTTATCGCTTGTGTGATGTCCTGGTGGGGTAGAAAGTCAGTCAGTCATGGAAGCCATTTGCAGTAAAATAGTTCTTTACTTCAGCATAACAAAAATCAAGAGCGATAGATGCCGCAGACGCACTTACTTGCTGGTAGAGTATGTTGTTACTATAGATCCGGGAAAACTGATCACCTGCATTAGGAAAATAGTCAAGTACAGATTGGTTCCAAACGACGAGACGCCAAATGCGAATCCGTAGCCACACATGGACAAGGCAAACCTGGGAATTATAAATGTTTACTTGTGACAACGAACTCACTTCTTGTAGTTTCAAAGTTAGTTTTACAACAACAACACAAAATGAAAGAACAAATAGAGCAAGAGAAAATACAGTCCATTTAGGAACATCTCACTCCCAAATCGTGTTGAGGAAATATTAGTCAATATAATATAAACTAAACCAAGACATGCGATAAAATTACAGATTACAGAAGAACAGATGGACTTAAGAAAAAATAGACGTTGGGCAGACGCAATCTACATGTTTAAACAGTTTATATAACAAAAGAGGGAGTATGATTAGAACTTACATGTAACCTTCAGACACGAAGAAAAGATGTTCAATAGACAAGAACGAGATTAGGGAAACTAATGGCTGGATATGGAGTAGACGATCGTCTCATCGAGTATTGCAAAAGTGTAAATAGGAATGGCAGAAGTGTAGTATTAAAAAAAAAAAAAAAAAAGGAAATATCGGTATTGGAAAGAAATAAACAGGAAGCAAATACAGCAATGTGCTGAAGAGGTTTTTCAGACGAATGTTAAGAATCACTTGGACTGCCAGAGTAACTAACGTAGATTGCTTGAAGGATGCTAATGAAAGCAGATCAATATATACAGCTATAAGGAAAAGACAAGCACTGTTCTTTGGTCATGTGATGAGGGGGGAGGCTATGGAGAATGTTGTAATGACTGGAAAGTCAACTGTAGAGGAGTGAGAGGCAGACCGAGAGAGATTATGACGAATGGATTGCGACGGTGGCAAGTGAGATGTCATCAGTGGAACTAATCTAGAGGACAAGGAAGCGAGATCTGTGGATTTGCATGAACGATGATGATGATGATGATGATGATGATGATGATGATGAAAATGAAGGAATAATTATAAAAAACGGATATGAGTTGAAATAACAACTTTCGCCGAAGATGGCACATTGAATGAATAGGATCTCATACTGCTCTGTGTGAAGACAGATTTTCTTCAAATTTCTCGGCTTGCATTTGAGATCACTACAATCAGCAGGTGTGTATTTACTAGCAGGTGAGGGGCTACAGTAACAGTTTTACGTCCTCGTGAATGTTTAGTTCGAGCAAAGGACGGTCATTGCCGCACTGGGGTCAATTCAATCAATTAATGTGCCGACGTTATCCTCAAAAACCGGTTAGGCGTTCTTAAAATGATGTTGCTGGTTTTAATCTGTTAATAGTTTATTGTGCTTTTCTTCTAAATATTGAATGTCACACAAATCATGTAGGCATTTCAATTTGAAAAATTCTTCCTAGGCGGTGGTAATATGCTAAATCTTCTATCTTGCTAACGTGTTTCCAAAATGCCTTAATCATCTCTGCTTTACCAAGCACCAGTCACCATCCGGAGTGGTAAACTAGCCTACTTGCATATCCAAACACACCGACATAGTCTGGGGTAAATAATGTAAAGTGGGCTCACTGGTCTCCTGCTCTGAAGCGAAGAACACCACGCTGCACGCAGCATGATTGTCTTCACATTAAGTAGAATGCTTGGCGTATCCTTCTATGTGAAGAAATATTGTACAAACAGTAACTCCGCCATGTCTGCATTTTAGACCTCACATTGTAAAACTAGAATATCACTGTTGTCTACAAGCTTTAAACCTATGCGTCAAAGACATATTACCAAGCGGTTTTCCGACAGAACATATCAACAACAGATCAGATATTCATTTTACGGCAAATGGCAGAGCAGAATTTGGATTTAGAACAGTTGTACATAATGTCGTGTGGAATTTTTAAAGGCGTGTGTCAATGTACATAGAGACACTGTATTGAATCTACGAAGCACTTTGGAATACCAAATAACATCTAGTTTAAAGCAAGGTGATGCTCTGTCCCCACTTCTTTTCAATTTGGCCTAGAAAAAGTTTATAAGAAAAATTGAAATAATATTGTGCTGTAGTAGAAACTACAAGAATACTTGGTTATGCAGATGACAGATGTCGTTAGAGAAAATGAGCTAGAGACAGTAAAGAGAAATCTCTTAAAGGAAGCGCTCACAAATGAGACTAGGTATCAGTTAAGATCGGATCAGACAATCGTGGGTTCGTGTCGAGGGAGTCGGACTGTATTCAGAAATATCGTTGGCTCCCAGGTTTAGGCAGCTTTGAGTGGGTACCAGATATAGTCCTCAAAGGAAAAGGCGGCCGGCATGATGTTGACCACAAGACCCACCAAGTGTCGATTGGTCTTTCAAAGATAAATCTAACCCTATATGCCTAATACACCTGAGGAGGTCCTTTGCTTTACTTTTTTACATACAAATCGATAGGATGAAAATCAAACGAACGGAAACATACGAGTGCAAAGCTTCAAATGCTCCAACATACTAAGGAAAGGAATACCACCTAAAATACAATCTGGACAAAATGTATACTTTGCTCCACAACATCTGCTAAAGTCAAAGTCTCGATGTTGTAACAATAAGATCAAAATATATAAAACACTGCTAAGACCAGCTGTTTTACATGGCTTTGAAACTTGGAGCACAACTAAAAGAAATGAAGTCTTATTGCTAAATTTTAAAAACAAAATCTTGCACCGCATCTGTGGCATCAACAAAGATGCAAACAGCGGGGACGGGAGAGTGAGAAGCAACAAGGAAATTCAAATTTAAATTACCATTCATCACTGGCATCATGAAAACTGGGGCATACTGGGAAAATGTCAGATGACAAACAAGCAAAAACTCTGTTGGGATTGAATGCTAGTTTACCTCGAGGCAAACCAAGAAGGCGATAGAGAGATAATATCTAAACAGAAAACAAACACTTAGTGTCACTAACGGGAAAGCGAAAGCCAAATATACATATAAACAGAGGCGGGTGATATCTGCAGCAATAAACCTAAAGGGCTCAGAATGCTGGAAAAGGGGGGGGGGGGAAGAGAACTAGGATGTAAAAAAAGTGATACATTGTGTTCAACTTTGACAAGTGCAATATTAGTGTAGGCAACAACAACCTTACCAGATGTACTGTAGGATAATCGAGGACTTGAACAGATGCCAGCCCTTGTAAATGTGAAAGTATGTGTACCTGGTAGAGCGTTGTGTACTTTTCACGGTCTCCGCTACAGCCTGGAATTATATTTACGATTTTTCAACTTGACAGTTTTTTTTTTAGAAAACATTTCAAACGTGAGAACAACAAAGTCTATACTGTGCGGGATAAATTGTAAATTTCTGAATTTGGCTAAATCTATGCCACTTTGGCCAACATCTTTCGATTTTGAAGATTGAGGCTTTATATCAGGATCCCTCTACTCATGGGGCTGCCTAAGTTTATGAGATCTGCCTCTGATTTTCTCTTAGTTTTCTTTAACATTGTTCTCACAATCATTTATGCAAAGTAGTGGTCGTTTAATTAATATAGATAAGGTGTATCTGTCGAACCGATGAACAATCTTCCACCGTCAATGAGGTCCATTAAAGGGTCAGACATAAGTAGACATATAGACATAAATGAGCTAGGTTATAAAATGGAATCAAAGGAATTTGAAACCATTCGGGAGTAGGTGGTTGTTCCCCATTCTAGAGGTCCTATCCTTCTCTCAATACCCAGCAATCCGAGAACAACAAAGAACACACTGGAGTTGGCTGGGGCGTCTCTAGCTGACCAAGGCTGACTATGGAGCCCTAAAGTTGGCCACGAACTGACCTACCAGCGGGGTCTGAAGAATCATAGGAAGCGCTCCTTTGCCCCCCCCCCCCCTTTCCAACCCTTATTTTGTATCCTAAGTTGTTGATAGGGTGGGTGGGTTATAAAGGGTTTCCTATTTTATTCCAAAAACTTGCAGTTATTTTTAATAATCCCACAAAATCCCACAACAATAAAATATTTGTTAAGTAGAAAAATTTTTAGTCTTGTCGGTGAACATACAAAATAAAACCTTTTTGATTATTTCAATCCGAATTATTTAATTACATCGTTTCTCTTTCTGTCAATCTGGATTTCATAGCTTACTATGACACTTCTTTCCTCCATCTTAAACTCATTGCATCGCCACCGTGGACCGCAGGGATCTTTGTAACCGTATAATGGGGATGGGGGTGGGGGGGGGGGGGGTAGGTGGGTACTGTAACTGTTGTACTACTGAACGGGTTTCTGGGATTTGCTCATGTGTGATTCTTATCCTTGATGTGTTAGTCTTACGGAAAACAATGCTGGAGGAAATGCAATGACCACCACCACAACCACAACCAAAGGTTACTTGTGACCGTAGCGATTTCTTTCAGTTTGCTTTAGTTTGATTCTCATTATTGGGGTGTTAAGCACTTCTGAAGGGAAACAGCTACCTCTATGCTTCATGTTTTTATTTCCTAGACCAGTTATCATTTAAGCTCAGCACTATTGGATTAATGATATTACATTTATGTGACTGGTACAAATTCTTTCTCGTATTTAGATAGACATAGTCACAACAATAATTTTGTAATGCATACTTTAATCACTTCTAAACTGTCCTTGGGTACTTCCTGTTTGTTCCAATGGGCTATCCACTCCACGACCTGTTGTGCCTCATCTACTCGACCTTTCACCGTCAGCCATCGGAGACTTTCTGGTAGGAAGCTGAAGATGTAACAATAGTAAACAATTCATTTGTAAGTAAAGTAAACAAGTATTGACCCCTTTCTACGTCATCAGGCGTATTGGGCATATAGGGCTAGACCTCTATTTTGTTATAGACCAATCATTTTTTTGTGGGTGATGTGGTCAGCGTCGCGCCTTTACCTCCCAGACTATACCTGGTACCCAACCAAAGTTTGGTCAACCTGGGAGTCAAGGTAATTTCTAACAAAAAATTCCGGGCAGACGGGCGGCTAGCCGTCAACCCCACGGCCACTCCCATATGTAGTCAAAACATATTTTTGTTAAACTAACTGGCAGATAGTCCGGTAAACAAGTAGTTGCTATTATCTATTTAGTCAAAACGTGCGATTTCGAAATGGCGAAAGTAAGTCATAAGAAAACTGGAAACGAAGAGCTTTGATGAGAAAAATAAATAAATGAAGAAGAAATAAATGAAGTTAAAAACAAAAATGACATTATGTTGTCCAATAGTTTGTGCTTTGTTGAATTACTATACCCTCACCTGCCATCTTTCCTTTCGAACCAGCTCCTCGTGTCCTTTTTCTTTCACAATTATGTTCTGTCTTATCTCGCAGACCTTTATCTTGGATTATGGTTCATGCTGCTGTGTTTTTGTTGTTCAACCCCACAAGGACCCTAGAAACAGCGAACAACAATCGGTGACACAAAGTGCCAGCATTCGGATGAAGATCACTCGGACACGAGTTCCAGAAACCCTGTTAAACCCACAGGTTTAGGTACATTAGGGCTCCCGACTGCAGCCGAGTTGGGGCTTAAAAGTAACTAAACATTGTGACCTATATTGAGACTGTCATTCATTAACATTTACAAACAAGTCATCCCCCTCCAACCCCTTTCTTTGTGGCATGCAATTGTTCGTTATATTTAAGTCCCACCCTGGTTAGGGTCATGGGCCGTAATATTACCTAACGGTTGAACGCGGTTACCGGCACCTTTCCACGGTGATCCTGATCCGCATGCTGGCACTTTGTGTCACCAGATGTTTATTGTTCTCTATGCTGTCCTGGTGGGGTAGAACTTACTTATTTACTTACTTACTTTCATTAACAAAGACTTTTATCGAACCGTGTGGCTGTATTTGCGATCATATTCTCTCATCTTCCGACGTTGAGCATGTTAGTTCTAACATGTTATCGATTATTTAGGTCTTTATATCAGCAGGACTTCAGACATCCTTTTTTTCGACATCATTTATGAGAACTAATAGGTCTTTAAGGAAAACGTAGTCAACCTACAAGTATGGCGGCAATAGCAGAGTAATGAGGATACCACAAATCCAGTACAGCATAGACCAGTCTGGCAATCTCCAGGCGGCAAGAGCCATCAGACAGACACCAAAGTTGAAGCTGGGTAACATAGATACAATTACTCGACTAGATGGCAGCACAAACTCTGTCGTGTACGGTACAGCAGAAGCGAAGTACCCGCCCAGTGATGCTCCTATGAGAAATCTGAAAGTGGGAATATTTAATATTGTAACATGGTATCTATCACAAATTATATCATTACCAAAATCTGAG